AAAAAAAAAAAAAAAAATTGCTACCTGATCGCCACAAAATTTTTCCAGAAACTTCTGTGTGACATAAACTTCAGCTAAAGCTTGTTGGTAACTCTTCGGAGACACCCTTTGTATCAACTTGGCAAACAATTCAGAGACCTAGAAGCACAAGCCCTTTTTATTTTTTAAAAAATAATAAATATAATTTGCGGAAATAAAAAGATCTTTGTCAATATGAGACATCACCACCTCAGGCAATGATAGTTTATGAGCTGCTTTTGTGGTAACGTCTCCAAGCATCATGTACCTGAGACATGATGGGTTTTTGTAAGGTTGTTACAATAAAAAAAAGTCGAAAGTCTCGTAGTGCAAAATAAAAAGGTATAAAACTGCAGAATAAACAAAACAAGCTAATGATAACCTCTCAGGTGCTTTGAATGGATTGTGCAGACCGTGTTTGGGACAAATGGACAAGCTGTCGACAAAAGGCTGCATAATTTATGATGTGTTGGGGGNNGGGGGGGGGGGGTGATTTCAATATTAATCATTGTTTTTGAGTAAATATTAGAATTATGTGAAAAACAAATACAGCAATCAGGAGATTCAGGACATACCTTTATTTCCTTCTCATCAACTTCAGAAACCTTAATAAACAGTGCGCCATTTAAAGGATCAGGAATATTGTTCCAATGAAGAGATTTTGTCCAATTACCCTGCACTAATAAAGAGAAAATGAGAACATTGATTCTCTTTCCCACATATAAATCAAAAGGAAAAAATATAAAACAAAAAAATAACTCTTAAAACAAATGCAGTAATTACATTTAAATTCGGGTATCCTTTGGCGAGCTCATTACTGCATTGTTTAGAGTGCTAACGACACAAACAAGGATGGATGTGCTCTTTTCCCATGAAAACACATGACTAATTTCACTTTTTTTGGCCTAAAAAAGGGGTGCATAAAATTTGGATAAGTCATTCGAAACCTATTGAATACAAGACGACCGGAAAGCACGAAGAAGAAAAATCGATTTATAAGCCTACTCTCTAAGGACAAACTCGCTTCAAGATTTTTATCGAGTACTCAAATTCAGAACTTCAGCTGACTGAGCGCCTGATATTTCTTCGGCTTTCACTGTGGCAAAGGCTAGTGAATGAGCAAACCTGCATCAACCACACAACAGCTCAAGTTGTTCATCAGAGTTCCAAAACATGATTGATCATTTTATAAAGCGGTTTTTTGTCCACCTCATATTTAGTCCGCGGAAAATGATAAAATTAAATCGACTATCGGAAAAACAAAAAAAAAAAAAAAAATCAAAATTTCACCACTGTAACAGTCCCATGCTGGTATCATCGAACCCATCCAATTTTGAACACAACAAGCCCACTAAAATCCTCAATCTCTTACCATAACCCCCAAAAAGATTCTTAATAACCAAACAGATGTTACCCACCAACTTTGTAGTCTAAGTGCAACTATCCAACCATATGTCAGTGTTCATCAGAGCACAAAAAAGATGGTTGGTTATCTTATAAAAAAAAAAAAAAAAAATTTAATTCATTCTTAACAACATCAAATCCCTAGCAAATGATAAAATTCAATCGATGATCCAAAAAAGATTCAATTTTTACCACTTTAACAGTCTCAAGCTCGGAGGAAATTGGTCCATATGACCTTTTCCAAAAGCATATTTGTTCAAATAACCCTTTGAACTTTAAATTTGGCTAAATAACATTTGACCAAAAAGAAAAATCTTTAAAAAAAAAAGAAAGGTAAAAATTACTATCATACCCTTACTTGAATATTGTTTTGTTATAGGTATATAAAATGAATTATACCTTAACGGATATAAAACGGGATATGGAAAGCTTGAAAAAACAGATAGATGAGTTATTTAAATCTGTTCAACAACAGTCTAAAGATTCTAAACAAGATTTAGAACCAATAGCAGCTAAAATAATCAACGATATTAAGCACGAAATTGCTAAATGTCCTTGTAAAGAAGAAAATAAAAAACAAAAAGTAATTTTTAATCAAGAAAAGAATATGCCTTTTCTAAAATATTCATATCCTAATGATTTAGTGGGAAATGAAGAATTAGGAAGTTCAGGAAATCCTAATGCTTTTAAATGGCCAAAGGATGCATTAAAAAAATGAATTTTCAAGAAAAACTTGAAAAAATCTTTGGAATCTAATTAATTTAGAATTGGATGATAAACAAGCTATCCAGCTTGAACATACAATTCGTTTCCTAGAAATGAATGAGGAACAATGTAATTCAGACTTAGAATTAAATCCTGAAATGAAAAAATTATTAAAACTTGATGAAAATGATCAGTTTTATCAGATAGAAGAAACTGAAACTGACACTCAGTCAGAATCAGAAATAAACTTCAATGATGAGGAAGAACTAAAGGAAAATTTTAGAATGGAAAAACCAGAATCATCTGGAACAAAAGATGATCAAGAAATGAATACTGAAGAATTCGAAAGAAAACCATCAGTAACTCTTAGACCACCTAGATCTTCTAACAACAATGCTGGTATCCCTGGTATTGCTGGAGAAGTTCAGACAGCTTCAATCCTAGATTTAGACTGTAAAAAACCTGAAACAATTAAAAAATTAATTGATAAATGGGGACTAGAAATGAGTCTTGTGATTAATCTCAATCCAAGTACTTTTAATACAGCACAACTTGTGTTAGCACTTGCTGAGCATAGAATGCTTGGAGATGCACAAAATTTTATAAAAAGAGTTTAATGGGATACTCAAAATGTAAACCCTGCAGTTATGCTTGAAAGCATTCTGAACAGTCTTTATACTTTGTTTTTGGGCATTGATCGAGTATCGAATGCAGAAAATGAAAAACCTTATAGAGCAATCTAAAGCTAAGGTAAGATTAAATAATTTGACTCTTTGCGATATTTGTTACATTGAGGAATTCAATTGTGATTTTGAAAAGAATCTTTTCAAAATAGATCTTGGAGAACATCCTGAATACATTAGAATGTATTTAGCAAAAATTCCTATTGTAGGAAATGATGCTTCAAAGAAATATGAAACAACTGAAAATCTTATTAAATATAGTTTTGGTTATGCCAAAAGACTCGTAAGAGAGGAAATTGAAAAAATTTGTAATGCTACCACAAAGCAAAAACAAATGAAGAAGTTCAACCGAAACTGTTGTTCTAAAATTTCTGAGAAATCTACATATTATGGTTGTAAACCATATAAAAGAAAATCAAGAAAGGAACACTTTAGAAAGTATAAATACCAGAAAAGGAAAAGGAGAAAAACTTTTAAACCTGGTAAATATTTTAGGAAGAAACAGAAGTTTCAACCTAAGAAAAACTTTAGTCCAAAAGGGAAAAAGAATTGCAGATGCTGGATCTTTAACATAGAAGGTCATTATGCAAATGAATGCCCTAATAGACAAAAATCTGAGAAAGTAAAATTTCTCCAGATTGCAGAATCATTTGGTCTTGAACCAATTGAAGAAGAATACTCAGATATAGAAGAAGTTTATATACTGGAAAAATTGAAAGATGAATCCTCTTCAGGAACATCAAGCACAGAAAACAGTGATACAGAGTGAGGATAACCTCATCAGTATTACAAACCCGAATTCAATCTACATTAAAGGTAAATTGAAATTCGCAGGATATAAACAAATGGAGATACATTGTTTTGTTGATACGGGTGCAAGCCTTTGCTTATCTTCAAAACATATTATTCCCGAAGAACATTGGGAAAATGCTTCAAGAACATTGCAAGTAAATATTGCAGATGGAAGCTCAATCTCAATAAATAAAGTTTGCAAAAATTTAAATATAATGATAGCAGGAGAAATATTCCATATTCCAACTGTTTATCAACAAGAATCTGGAATGGATTTTATTCTAGGAAATAATTCTGTCAATTATATGAACCTTTTGTTCAATACACTGATAGAATAATCTTTACCAAGGATAATCAACCGGTCCATATAGGAAAATTGAGAACTGCATATAGGGCTGGAAATCCAGGATATTTAGATTCCATGAAAAAGAAATCTAAATCCAAAAAACCGGAACCAGTTCAAATAACTACTGATAAAATCTCACTTCTTAAAAAGAGGGGGAAGAGGTTATTAGAGTTTAGAAAAGAAATAAACATATTTGTTCTTAATCAACAAAAATTTTCTATAATAGAAAAATTGTGGAAAAAAGTTTGTGCAGAAAATCCACTTGATCCTAATAAGACCAAGTATTGGATGAAGGCTTCTATCAAATTGATAGATCCTAAAACTGAAATTGTGGTGAAAGCAATGAGTTATACACCCAAAGACAGAGAAGAACTTAATCAACAAGTTCAAGAAATGCTTGACATGAAAGTCATCACTCCTAGTAAGTCTCCTCATAGATCACCAGCATTTTTGGTAGATAAGAAAGGAACTTCAAAACGAAGAATTGTTATTGATTATCGAGAGGTTAATAAGAAAACAATTGGTGACGGTCATTTGGCAAGTCCTTTTAGACAAGGAATCCCAACTACTAACGGCTTTTACATGCCCATTAGGACATTATCAGTTTGTGGTAGTACCTTTTGGTTTAAAACAAGCACCATCAATCTTTCAAAGGCATATGAATAATGTATTCAGAAAGTTTGAAAAATTCTGTTGTGTATACGTTGATGATATTCTAATCTTCAGTGATACAGAACAAGAACATTATATGCATGTTGCAGTAGTTTTGAAAGAATGTGATAGATTAGGAATAATCCTTTCTGAAAAGAAAACTCAATTGTTTAAAACTAAAATAGAATTTTTAGGATTAACAATTGAAGAAGGTTTTCATAAACCTCAAAATCATATTTTGGAACATATTCATAAGTTCCCAGATAAACTTGAAGATAAGAAACATTTAATGCGCTTTTTAGGTGTATTAACTTATGCTTCAGATTATATTCCTAAATTAGCTAATATAAGGGCTCCCCTACAAGCTAAATTAAAGGAAGATAAAAAATGGTATTGGTCAGAAATTGATACTAATTACATGAAGAAAATAAAGAAAAATTTAACCAATTTTCCTTTATTATATCTTCCAAAAACAGATGATCAATTGATCATTGAAACAGATGCATCAAATGCATATTGGGGTGGTGTTTTAAAAGCACTATCTAATGAAAAAGAGTATATATGTCGATATGCCTCAGGAAGTTTTAATTCGGCTGAGAAGAATTATCATTCAAATGAAAAGGAATATCTTGCGGTAATAAAAACCATAAAGAAATTTACAATTTATCTTACTCCTTATAAACTTACTGTTAGGACAAATAACAAAAACTTCACTTATTTCTTAAAAACCAAGATGAAAGGCGATAGTAAACAAGGTAGACTTGTAAGATGGCAAATGTGGCTTAATCAATATGAATTTGATGTGCAACATATTGCAGGAAACAAGAACGTCCTTGCAGACTTTTTATCTCGAGAATTTAACGACCTTTGATAAAATGTTCACAGGATTAAGGCTCAACGGAGCACATAACCAGTCACAGGCGGTGACAATAGGGAGTTGCTTCTTAGGCATGATTTATGCTTGATAAAGCATCATCTATAATGGATGAATTACAACAACTCCAGTTGCAAGAAGGACTTCTGGTCCAAGAACTTGGATTGGTTCGCAATAAAATTAAGTATGTAAGCTTGTTTAAAGCTGAACAAAAAAGAGATTCTACTGTCTCTATTCCAGTAATGGAACAAACGAGTAATGTAGCAAGCCTAGCTTGTGAACAAAAAGAGAAAATTTCATCTCCTCCTGATCTTATAGATCTTGAAGGTGAAACTAGTCCAGAGCAAACGACTACTGGTAAAGACTTATCAAATCCGTTAATAGCTAGCAACTTGCTAAAAGCGGCAATAGGTATTAAATTACCAACAACGTCGGATAATTCTGATGGTTTAAACCTCAGACCGAACGGTGGAACTTCTGTTCCTAAACAGACAAAATCATTTGACAATGATAAGGGAATTCAAATCCCAAATAAAAAAGACACAACATATTATGTCGTGTTTAATAGTCCAAATGCAGGTATCTATCAAGATTGGGAGATTACCAAAAAAGCTACAAGTGGTATTTCTGGTGTTTCACACAAGAAATACAAAAGTTTCTTTGAGGCTCGTATTGCAGCAGATCAGTACTCGAGAATAAATGCAATAGCTCCCCTCGAGCTAATTTGCACAGCAGATGGACTTAAGCCCAACACATTCACTGCGGCCCTAAAGAAGCCCAGAAAACAAGAAAGGCTCCAAACTCTTGGAAAGATCCCAAAAAGGCCCAATCAGGAAGCCCAACAAGATGAATGGACCAACCTGGCTCAACTCTCAAAAGAAGGCTTGGACTATTGGATTAACTTGGCCCGACACAGTGGTGAAGCAGAAATCTTGACAGATAAATACTTCACGACAAATGGAAAGGACTTGAGGTTCTTCAACTTCATAAAAAACGCAATTTCAGAAATGGTTATTAAAGCATTCGAATATGGAATGGTTAAAACCATATATCCCAGCCAAACTTTAAAAGAACTACAAGAACTACCTTCTAATGTTCTTAAGGCAATAAAAAACTACAGGAAAAAATGCATCCAAGGCGACAAGGACATTTTTCTAAAAATCATGAGTTCGATACCAATTTGGCTCAATGACGAAGTAATCCCAGCAAAACATTTAATCATGCTAGGCGTAAGTTCTGGAGAAAAATTCATTAAACCGGAAGCAAGAACGTTCCAACCTGTCAACCTCGACGATGTTGGACTTAACCGATATGAAACTCTAGTGGAAAAAACAATGGAGTTTAACTTGGACGATAAAGTGTTTGTGAATTACCAAGACAAAAATTACTTGGTATATTCAAAATCACCAAAAATTATGAGTAATGAAGATGAAATCAGGATTATCACCTTCAAAAAAGGTTTACTTCAAGAATTTCATCATCCAAAGATCTGTAAAAAGATTAAGAAACATAAGGAAGCACGTGGTAGCATCTACACCTGTCCAAATGAAAGCTGTCAAGCAACAATTACGGTGGAGCCAATCACTTTAAAAAAGATGACTGAAGAAAAAGATTCCCAGACAGGGTCAATATCATCCAACTCATCAACCATGTGAGAGAGGTCAGCTAAGCGACATTATTGGCTCAAGGCCATGTGAGAAAGTGGAAGCCACCTAATGGCATAGGTCAGTAGTGACGAAAAACACTTGTATAGATCCTCATTCCTTAGTCTATAAAAGGATGAGTTACATTTTCAATAAGGGACATCAGAAAATTAGTCCAGAGTCTAGCCTGAAGTTCTTTCTGTAAAATTTTCTTTCTTCTATATCTATGTGTGAGTAGTGAAAGGTTCCTTCTGAGGAACTTGAGATTGTAATCAGAGGCTTAAATGAATAATTAATATTCATATCAAGACTCTTGTAAAATGTCTGGAGTTTGAATAAAATATCCAGTTTGTTTGAAATTGTGCTAAAGATCTTATCCTGGAGGCCGATTTGCTAATCAGAGGGAATAGTACCAAAAGGGAAAACAATATCTGTGGCGCAGGCTTGGAGTCGATCATCCAGACACAAAGATTCAAAATCAAACACAGAGGTAAACATTTATCCAAACTATAAAACATTTTATAAGAAGTTCCTTTGAATATAGTGATTATGTCTTAAATAGCTCTCTGAGAAGCAGTCTAAAGTTTCTAGGAAAGGAATTTTAATTTATAAAGGAATTTCAAGAATCATTGAAAAAAAGGTTTTCAAAACCATAAATTAGATTAAATCTTTTGATAAAACAATTTCTCTGAATAAGAAATTATGAATTTTTTACAATGGTATGATTTTTGGCATTTGCCAATGAAAATGCTTTATAAAGAACGAAACGCTTTGACATATCAACGTAAACAATTAAGAAATCTTCATACTTTGTTAGAAGTTTATCAACGAAGACTTGAAGCCTTACAACTTGAGAAAGAACTCGAGCATAACAGGGCATTACCTGAGGGTAAAATGAGTATCCTAAAATCTTATGGTTTCAGACTCAATGGTCTATATGGCTTAGTTACTTCTACCAAGAAGTCAATTAAGAAAGCAGAAAAACAAGCATCTCTTTTGGGAGCTGCCTAAATTCATTAATTTTTTTAGTGTTAAAACTCTAACTTGCTATGGAAAACAATAATTTATGGCATATGCCAGTAAGAGTAGTGTTTTCAGATATAAATTATCTTAGAACACTAAGAAAACAAATAATCCGGTTAACATCTGATTTAAATGAAGAAGAACAAAGATTGAATGATTATATTCAAACTTATATTTCTGCACCTATAGAAATAAAACTAGCAACTACAAGAAGCTATGTTGATAATGTCAATAGAATGGTCTCGGTCATTCTCGCATTAAAAGAGTCTATTAAGAAAGCACAACAGCAGAGCTCACTTCTTATGAATTGAAATGGATTGTTTTGATATCCTGTATAAATTCCGCACGAGAATCAGCCCGTTTAAAAATCTTGGTATCAGAGCCTGGTATCAAAGAAAAAACCTGTTTGGAATATGAGTTCCAATACAGATAATGAAAACAAGAATATAGAACAAGATCTATGTTCTAATAGTGATCTTTCACAAATTTCATTTAATGAAAATGAAAAAGGTTTTAAAGCCAGTTTGGCAATAAAACATGATGTATTAACTAAGATTCAAAAATCAAAGTTAAATCTTAAAAAAGAAGAAGTCTTTAACATTCCAATGTTAAATTTCTTAAAAAGAAAAAACGAAATTTTCTATTTTGTTAACACGCAAGAATTGCATGTAGACATAAGAGATGTTAAAGGAACCGTATACCTACCTTTAATTACTAAAGCAGAAATACGAAAAAACCTAGAGAAAATTCCATCTCTTATAAGAAGTAAAATTTCAACAATTCATCTAGGAGCAATAAAAATTTTGCTTAAAGCTGAATTTCAAGAAGGGATTGATACTCCTATAAAAATGGCATTAATCGATGATAGAATTAATGACAGAAAAGACTGTATCTTGGGAGCAGCAAGGGGAAACCTTGCTTATGGTAAGTTTATTTTCACAGTTTATCCTAAATTTGGCATGTCTATTCAAACTGCAAACTTAGATAGAACATTATCTTTCATTCATCACTTTGAAAGAGAAAATCTAATGAACCCTGGAGATAAAGTCTTTAGTGTTACATACGTTATAAGCTATGCTTTGAGTAATAGTCACCATAGTATAGATTATAGGAAAATATCTTATATTGAACTAGAAGATATCTTTTCAGATATAGGTTCAGTAGAAGAAAAAACCTTCTGTGAATTAGCACCTCTAGAAGAACACTGGGCTATTGATATAGCTAAAGGAAAAACTGTGATAGGAAATAAAAATCCTATGCAGATTAAAGAAAATTCTTTGATTATAGGAGAATCAAGTAGATTATCAGTTTCAGAGAAACGTTCTCTAGCTGATATGTCCGATAGAATAGATAATTTATCTGGTATGTTAAGACAATTAACTTCAGGATAAAAAATCATACCAGATAACGAAACTACATTTGTTATAATATAGCAAACACGAAAGAACATTCGTTATTTAAAACAAGGGTGTTTTTGACATTCTATTTGTAATATTTTATACAAAAAGCAAAAAGAAAATATGGGGTCATTTAAACAAAAAAGACCTTTGACTAGGTCATTAAATGAAGAGCCCCTCAAGCTCGGATCATCGAACCCATCAACATTTCGAACACAAAAAAGCAAACCCAAAACCCTCGATCCCTTGCCATAAAAGTAAAAGCCCAAACCGAGAATCGATTAGTACCTTGAAGCACTGAACGACCTGAACCAGTTCAAAGAAGCGCATTTGCTCTGCAAGCGTCTCGAAGCCATTAATTCGTACATTGCTCAGGTGAAATTGTGAAGTTGTAAGGTAAGATTTTGCGTGTGGAGAGAAATTGTGTTTGATTTGGTCTTTTGAGGTGATAGTTGCGTGTGAGAGATGAAATCTTCCGCAAGAAGCCATACAAAGTAAAATTACGATATCAGCCCCAAAGACAAATAGTAAGATAATGGCACAACTGTAATTTAAAAGGGACACTTGTCAGCTTTTTAAGCCAACAAAAGTGGACACGTGTCGCCACCACGACCGTCCTAACTCGTTCATATATATATATATATATA